GAAAATAAATTCTATTTTTTTTTTTTAATAAAGGAAGGGGGACACCCACATATACTATCTATGCCTTCACCAAAGCTCGAACCTAAGACTTCCCACATAAAGGGCCAATCGGATACCAGTAGACTACAAGCCACTTGGTGGAAAATAAATTCTATGAACCAAACAATATTTTTCTCAACTTTTAGGAACACTTTTTCCTCAACTAAACACTCCCTTAATATCTTTTCCATTTTTATTTTTTAAAAATTATTATTATTAGTAAGAAGATGATGATGATAGCTTGATTTATTATCCATTATATTGCAATTAATACTATAAAAAATTAGACTAAAACTAAATTAAAGGGATAGACCAAGAAGAGTTCAAGAAGCTAGCAAGGGGAAAACACTTGTCATAAATTTGAATGTGTAAGAATAAATTTTTTAACCTTTTTTTTTCCTTTAATTTTTTTTTCAATGATCTTATATCATTTAGAGTATTGAATGCTGATTGACCTTAGATTCCTAAGAGGTCTACTAGACAAATTACGTAAATTCTGATTGAGTTAATTACTAAAACGATTCTTAAATTCTGATTGAGTTAATTACTAAAATGGTCTTTTTAACTATAGCGAAATTATTAATGGTTAAAAATAGGGTTAATGGGAAGAGAAATTGTGATGTGATGTGTGAAGCAAAAGATTTGGCAGGCTAATCATTAATTACCAAATTGTGTTAGATAAGAGCACTAAATTACCCACTCGCCACCTTCAATTCGGTCTATTCCAATTATGTCCCCACGCACCATGTGGCCATCAGGCCATGGAGCCCCTTCTCCCCTTCTTCCTCTCCCAATCATCCGTACATCTTTCCATATTGATTTTATTTTGTGCGTATAGCATCAAATGTTGTACAAAGCTCTTCTTCTATCATTGGTTTGGTGTTGGTTTTATGATTGTTGTAGTTCACGTTCTGCAAACTCAATTATTTGGAATATGTAAAAATTTGTTAATTAAAGATGATAAATGTTGTTCTTTGAAACTTATTATTATACAAACAATTCACTTACTAATTTTAAATTGCAGAGATTCAATGTTATCATTAGCATTTAGCATTTTTTGAAATAAATGAGCTAATTTATTAATCAACGATGAAAATTTTACAATAAGATCTATGAAATGATAAAACATTCTTACAATCAGACATTGAAACAAATTTCCAATGCTACATGAAACTTGAATCTCTGATTGTTTTTCAAGATGGAAGCTGAATTCGTTTGGAGAACCTGAAGCTTCTTTGATATTGTTAATGAACTTGCTACTCAAGTCTGACTCTATTGCGGTTCTTCTGTCCATAGACAATATCTCAATTAATCTGAACTACATATCAAGGTTCATATCCTCTTCGGTGCTATTGTTTCACCTTATGAAAAAAGAACTCGCCAAATAAACGAGAGGAAAACTCGCTAAAGACACGAGAGAAAATAAATCGCAAACGAAACGAGAGAGAATTACTTTAATTTAACAAAACAACAGATGAAAATCAAATCTAAAATAGCCAAAACAAATCATAAACACCAAACCACTAACTAATATATATATATATATATATATATATATATATATAATTTATTGAACCACTGAAAAAAGGTAAAGATGCTTGGATCTGGAGTTGGAGATGGCGAGGGACGGTGGTGAAGGAGGAAGAAATGTCGGTGAGCGGCCGGAGGAGATGGTGTCGATGGAAGAGAGGCGGGAAGAGGTGCTGGCAGCGGAGAAGAGGCCGAAGGACAAGCTATTGAGAGACGGTCGGAGTAGGGGAAGAAAGAAACGAGAGGAGGCGGGCGCCAAACAAATAAGATAACTTTAAAATAAAATATTAGCATACTATCAATAAAATTAAGATAACTTTATTTTGATGCTCTGTCGGGTCGGAGTGTGAGGGGCCCTTAGGGTTGGGGATTCAGCCTTTTGGGGTAAGATAACTTTATTTTGATATTTTTGTCATTAGATTTTATTTTTACTAAAATTATATACCCTATTTTAGACAAATATTTTACAATATATGTTTTAAGAAATAGAAAGTAATTATCAAAATGAGGTATTATAACGAACTGTAATTTTTTCCCCCTGTCGTGTTATGCTGTGAAACCACAGCCGTTTACGTAATATATTTAAATAGAATATCTAATCTGGCATTTGAGCACTTATCCGTTAACACATTATACCTTGTATATATACAAAAAAAACAAAGGAATTAATGTTGTGTTGTAATTCTAGTACGATTTTGTAATGATGTAATCTGATGAGGAACATGTTCATCTTTTAATAAAGGCACAACCTTTTTCTATTTCATATCGAAATCAAGATGTTATTTGTATGATGAACAAGTACGTGTTAGAACTTAAGTTTTTACGTGTTCATGAAAACAGCTCGCAAACATACGTGTACATGAAAAATTTTACGTGTACAAATTAAGATAGCTATATCTGGAGTGATGTAATTTATATTATCGCAAACATATACAAGTTATGATGTGAAAACATTACATAGAATTTGTTTGCATAATATAAAGGGATTAGTATTGCCGAAAGGAGTGCTTAGTGGGTAGAATATAATTCTTATACGTGAAAGTTATGAGTTTGATTATTCTCAACGCTTGTTGAATTAAGTTTAGTCTTATTACACATGAACTGGTTAGTAATGATTAAGTGTTTTTCCGTTGCCAAAGAAAAAAAAAAAAAAAAAAAAAAAAGGGACTAGTGTAGTTTGTTCAATTGAGAAAGGTGTGTGATGTGTGCCTCCCGGGAATTAGTCTAATAAATGAAAAGTAACACTTTAAGTGGTAGTAATCATGACAATTACGACATTCATGGGTTCCGTATGTGATGGTGAAAGTCGCAATAGTAGCAAAGGCGAGAGCTTTCGAACTCATACGAAGGGTGTTGATTTAACTATAAGGGAAAGTTTCAATGATAATGAAAGAGGAAGTTCTAATGATAATGAAAAAGAAGACTTATTTAGTCTGATAAGGTGGAGGTTCAATTCCAGTACGTCATGAATAGCTTAGAGTATCTCAATTTGTGATTTTTAAGATTTTATTTTTTTAAGTTGGAGAGGAGATCAGAGATTGTGAGATGGAGGAGAGAGAAGGTAATAAAGAGGAAAAATTTGAATATGCAATAAGTCATATTTATTGTGAAGTCTGCACGAAATTGAAAAAATAAGAGAGAAAAGTCACGTGAACCGGAGCGTTAAGCGCACAATGCGCGCCCAGATAGCTCATAAGCGTAAAGAAATATTTTTTTTCCTTGGCATTCATCATGATTTTTTTTTTTCACTAATTTTCTCTTTCCTCTCTACCCATATAATCCTGACAAAAACCCATTAAAAATCCACAGTGATGTTATTGCTCTTATAATGGTAAGGTGAGGTTGAATTCTTGCCGAGAATAACGAATAAGGCAAAATTGCAGCGGAAATGCGACAAGAGATGATTACACGGAAAACGGAAACTGTACTGCAAACACAAGGAGTGGTGGGCAGTTGGGTGCGAAAAAGCTACTTTCGTCCGCAACAAAAAAAAATTAGGTCATGATTTGTACTTTGTTGCTTCATCATTGCCCTGCAGAAAAAATAAAAAACAAAAAAATGTGCATTCCCTCATCTTCTTCCTGTTGATGATCTTGCTGGCTGCCATTTTTTCTTACCCTTAAATCATGCTGCCCAAAACTTCCTTCCCATCATCACAACATCTTTAATTTGATGTGCACAACATATTCGGTTGAGCTCGATGTTTGAAATATCAAATTTAATATCTTGTCATTTAGCGTTGATTCAAAAAGCGATATTGCCTGTGTTGGATGATTGAAAGACAATTGTGTTTTGCTATTAGTTATAATTAATATTTTACATAGTGTAAACTTCCAAAATCATCTATTTCAATTAATTAAATGAATTTTTTTCAAAAAGTCATGCTATTTTTTTGTTGAGCAATTTAATTGCATTGCTCACAGTAAAAAATCCCACCTAGCGTATCACCATAATCGGTGGTCTAGACGGCTGGTCGGGTGTCGGCCGCCTAGGTCTTCTAGTCGGCCGATTAGCTGTTATTCCCTTCTTTTTTTAATGGACTATTTTACTCAAAATGATATCGTGTTGTAGTATTAACTATTAAAGTACTAAATAGTTTATAACTATCAAGTTTTAAAAAATAAAAAATATACAGGGGCTAAACGCCGATTAATTACCGCATCGGCATCCTAGGTGCTAAGCGCTTTCTAGCGCTGCTTAACGATTTTTTCAACCATGCTCAAGCACAAACTACTTGTTTTCCCAATTGCTAAATTATAAACAAGAACATACAATTGAACATTGGTCGTGACTTATCTTTAGTTTACCTTTTGATTATGTGTCAGTCCTGCAAAGCAAAGGGCATCTTGGCTTTGTGGGCAAGGTTAATATGCGTTGGGGAGACAAAATGTTGTAGAGCAGTGATGATGCTGTGTGGAATGGAGGAGATTTGCGGTATTCGATTCTAGTCCTGACGTTGGAACAACCTTTGAAGTGGACTGACGATGTGTGTGCACTACCAGGCCACCTCCAGATATCCCAGATTATGACTTATCAAATCACTAAAATGACGTCAACACTGTGCTTTAAAAAAAAAAAAAAAACAAATTCGTTTTCAATTAAGATTTTATCACATATCACAAGCCACTGCAACAGTAAAACATTCTTTAGCAGCCTGATCTATTAAAATTCACTCAGAATACATAAAATCAGAACGTGATATATACCTTTTCTTTTTTCAACGCATTTTAATGAAAATTAGAAAGTACTCGATTAAGAGGGTATTGGTATAAATAAAATTTGTAACATTAGCAAATATTTGAAGGGGATTGTCATCTTAGGAAAATTACAAATCTGTCGGGCCAGCTGTAATATGAGATCTTCGATCGGTTTCGGTAAGTACAAATGAAGGACGAGATTGCGGAATTGAATATTAATATATTATGGGGTAGTTAAGCTTAATAGCATTTTATTAAGGAAATCCAATGATTTTCGAACACTGAATCAAATGTCTGCATTAATTGTTTTCTTAAAAAGAACAAATTCGTATATACAAATAAGAAAAAGAAGAAAGACAAAAAAAAAAAAAAAAAAAAAAAAAAAAGACCACCTCTTGGTGAAGTGAACGGTCAGCTTCCGACAGTGAAATACCGAAATCTTTCGCCGTATCCTCGAGAATCAACAACGATGAGACCTGTCTGTTCCGATTCCGGCGAAAGAAGGGAATTTTCCGATTCCCAATTGCGTGTTCCGGTTGCCGGTCTAAAAGAACGGCACCGCTTCAGGTCCCCGGAGAGGTTTCGGCGGCGGAGGCGGAGGCTTCTGCACCTCCACAACGATCCTCTCCTCCCGCCGCGGCTGACAGGGACACGGCAATGCCAAGAACCTGGGCACATGTTCGCCCGGCATTACCACCGGCAAAGTCAAGCTCTGATTTTGCTTCAAATCCTGCAAAGTGAAACAAAACAAACCAATTTTAATCATTTCCCATAAACAAATCACTAATTTTGGTTCTGTGCGGCTATATCGGAGAGGGAATTGTTACCGGTTGTGCGAGTACAGGCTTGCGGGGCCCATCATCACCGTCGGCGGGCGAGCCGTCGGCGAAAGACCGACGGAGGGATCGGAGCTTGTCCCAGTGGTAACAGCAGGAGAATACGCCGCTCAAGGTGAAGATGACGATCAAGAGCAGCGCGGTGCCGAGAGGGAAGCCCAGTGACGGCCGAGACGCATCCACATGCGGCGGCGCTGAATATGGACTCTCCATCGCTTCTATCCCAACAACAATTCCTTATATTTCCCGATACCCCTTCTTCTTCCCTCATCCAAAGGGCTCAGAAAACAGAAAAATTAAAATAACTGAAATTGCTTCTGCAGAAAACGGAGATAAGGAAGCTTGGAAATGGCGAGTGGGGAGCCGGCGAAGGCCAGATATTTAAAGACAGGGAAGCGTGCGATAAAAGAGTGCGCAAATTATTTTTAACTCTTAAAATTAAATTAAATTAAATTAAATTAACACAATTTCGTCTAATTTTGTAAGAGTTAATATCCAAAATCGTCCTCGACTATAGTGGTTTTTCTCAATTTCGTCCTAAACGACTTTGGTGACCTAATATCGTCCCAGACTTTTGTGTTTTGCTCAATTTAGTCATCCATTTGTTATTCCGTCAAATTGGTGTTAAATTAAGGGACAATTCAGTAATGTCAATATTGATCTCTCTTTACTTTCAACTTGTGAAGTGCGAAATTCCTCTTTCTTGTACGAATTACACCCAGATTTACTCCTGGACCAGCAAATCAAATTTTATATTCGCAGTTTTAGGAGTAATTCGTAAAAAAAAAAAAAAAAAAAAAAAAAAAAAAAAGAATTTCGCAGTTCACATGTCTATGAGTAAAGATATGCCAATATTAAAATTACTGAATTGTCTATTTATTTAACACCAAATGGACAGAATAACAAATGAGGGACTAAATTGAGCAAAAACACAAAATCTGGGACTAAATTGAGCGAAACACAAAAGTCTGGGACGATATTAGGTCACCAAAGTCGTTTAGGACGAAATTGAGAAAAACCACTATAGTCGAGGACAATTTTGAGTATTAACTCAATTTTGTAATTACAAAGTCTCAAGCAGCACCTTGTGTTTAGATATTACATCTTTGGCTTTCTTTTAGGGAAGGTCACAAGATCAAATCTTTTAGAGAAGATCACATGATCAAACTTTGGTGGTAGGGTCTTGACTCTTTGGACCGTAATATATAAAGAAAATATAGAATATATATTACCTTGTAATAAAGTCAATAGTATTTTTTTTAAAAAAAAATTAAGTTTGACTCGATTTATCTTATTATGCTCTTTTATCGATTAAGGTTACAAGACATAATAATTTACTCAATACACAACTTTGAATAATAGCTGTGAATTTATTTTGTCATAAATAATAATAAATTAAATTAATTAAGTACGTGTAAAGGTACATTGAGCGTCGAGGGCACGGTACGGAAGGGGGAGGGGACCCACCGGGTTCGGGTTGTTAAGCACAATGGGTCTAACCCGGGTCCATTTGTTTAGAATTGTGTAGTGCATTGTGGTCTATTCAATTCCCATCCATATCAAGACTTTTGCGTATTGTTTTTAGGTGCAGACAGGGAAAGCTGGTTTGCATTTCCTAGTTTTATAGGAAGATTGGTGGAAGGAGGCAAACGGGATAAAAGGGTAAAAATCTGCGACCACGAAATATCTCCCTGAATGCACAAACAACAAAATATTATAACCGTAAAAAAACAAGTTATCCATAGTGATTATTATTAGATATAGAGTACGTTTTTGTGATGCGATAAAAAGTAATTAATTAGTACATATAGAATACATCTTCGTTTTACTATTGTATGGCAAAAAATCTGTGAACAATAGTTTAAAAATGTTATTATCGGGACTTGCCCAGCATAAATTACGTCCACCAAGTCATGCGCTAAGGCAATAATGACAAGCAAGACCATTACAAATACTATATTAACTAGAGATAATTTAGGCTAAAGATATATGTGTGTCTGGAAAGGACCATGCATTATTCATGAATCTTCACTTCAGAGACATGTTATGTGAATTGTCAAGTTAAAACTTTTATTTAAGAAGTTAAGAACAGATGCAAAAGACCATACCGATGACAGGTAATGTAAATCCATCCAACTAGGTCTAGTCATCCAAAAGCCATATCCAAAAGTTTTATATATTACATAAATTTAACTATTTAAGAGACGTCTATATATGTTTGTAAGCTGTCAGATATACTGATGGCGTCGCCAATTATCCACAGTTCAAAATGCGAATACAGTGCAGAGCACTGAGGCAGAGCCAGCAGCCCTATCTTTTGGTTTTGCCTATGATCAAAATTGAAAACGAAACATCACCTAATTAACGTTAGTCCCCTGTCACCTCAATTAACAAAAACATTAATCCAATCCAACCACTCCGATAACTTATCATTCCTTTCCCTCATTCATCGCGCAGCCATCCAGGATATGGCCTGTCTGAATGCCCCTCTCGGATACTGCGCCTAATTCCCATCCGTTTTCCGTTTTCCCCTTTTCTTTAATTTATTCAACGAAAAGACTCGTTTCATGACGTTCTGCCGAGGTTGTTTATTATTGCCTGGTTTTGCCGACCCTTTGGAGTCCTAAAGGACAACGTTAGTTTTTGCGTCTCCCGCATGAAGCTGCAAAAAATCTGGGATTCACGTTTTGGGGCGCATGGAAACCGTGATGGGTGATATCATCCACACTCCCATCGGTTTTCGCCGTTTCGTCACAAAAGTGCGACAAAAATCTTTACAAAACACGACATCGATGTACCAGTTTTCTTCAATTCGCGTGGTATGGACAACTTGTCACCTATGTGTCCTGTTTCAACAACTTGCACCAACTCAAGTTTGAAACGTCAGAGAAAAAAAAAAAGTTTGTTTATAACATTCACGTACAGGCTGAAATCTCCGCACCCTTTCCCACCATTTGGTTAGCTAAAATCAAGAGAACTCAACAAATTAAATCTTCTTTTTTGGACCATTTATTAACTTTTCTTCGTTGACAGAGACGTTTACGGAATTTTTTTTATATTATATATTACTACCAAGTTGACTAACGTAACACTAGCACAAGTAAAGGTATGCAGGATGATTACGAGTGTGAATTAAATAGCTTCTTTTCTATATAACATTATTGTGGGTCTTTCTTCTTTTTAGGTATGTTTATATATCAACGTTGCATTCGAAAAAGATATATGCATGAATGATGAAATTAGTGTTATTAGTTATAATTTGGGCATCATTATATTTTTCTTATCAGCTAATTTGTATTATTTGATTTGACAAATAATTAAAATTTGATTTGGACCTAAATTAAATAAGCTAGGTAGGAAGTAGGAACTATGAAGAACTAACAATATAGGATCAACTATATGTGACCTTAATTAATGCTGTCTTTGTCCATCATTGGCATACTTTAATGTCATGAGATATTTTTACCATTTATTCCTTTTTCTTCATTGATATAATCCTTAACAAGATATTTTACTATTTATTTTTTTCTTAATTTGATGTAGACATTTACGAGATATTTTATATTATACATTATCACAAGATTAAAGTTGACCAAGACTTGCACGAATAAAGATATACATACATGATTATCGCAAGAGGAAATCAATCTGCTTATTTTTTAAAGACATTGTTGGTGTGTCTTCTTTTCATTTAATATCATTCGATTGTATTAGTCCCAGCCTGTTGCATTCAAAAAGATTAAATTAGTGTTATTACTTATTATTTTTCATTATATTTTAGTTATTGGCAAATTTGAATTCGATTTCAAAATTAATTAATATTTGACTTGGACCTAAAGTAAATAAGTTGAGTAAGTAGACCAAGAAGACAAGATAGGATCAAATTCGACTTAAGATTTTCTTAACCATTAAAATCGACCTAAAAGATAACATATATGTGATTAAGCCCACAAAATAATATAATACAGTTGTACTCCGTATGTAATTTGCGTGCCACTACGAGTTTCCTCCTCATTCAATAAATAATAATTTTTTACTTAATATAATCTAAAAATTAATAAGTGTGAGTGAAGGTTGGCAAATTATTGCATGAACCATGAATATCATGTACATTTTTAATATATTAAAAGTACATTATTTTTGTATTGAAAGTACATTATTATTGTACTGGAGGTACATTATATAAAATAATGTACCCTTAGTATATTAAAAATGTACTTTCAAAAATGTACCCTACGTACATAAATAATGTACCTTAGTATATTAAAAATGTACTTTTTATTTATGGTCCACACAATTGGGTGTGGACCATGGTCCATGCAATAATGATTGGTGAAGGTTATACTTTTCATTTAAGTCTATTTTTTCCACTGTTGCAAAAATCGATCTGCGCTAGGTGCCCCTAGACCGTGGCGATTTTTCCCCTAGGCCCTAGGCGTCCGCCTAGCGCCTAACTCGACCAACTTGACCGCCTAGCATCTAACTTAGCCGAGTTAACTCGTCCCTTTCAGTCAAGTTAATCCGATCAGCTCGGCCTAGCTAATTTTTTATCAATATATATATATATATATATATATATATATATATATATATATATATATATATATACACACACACACACACACACACACACATACATACATACAAACATACATACACACATATATATAATATGACATATATATGCCAGTTTGATACTTTGAATCTTTGGATGAGTCAAATATTTGAGTATTTTTAATTTTTAATATTGTTTTGATGTTATGACTTATGAATTATCATTATTTCATTTATTTGGATGTGTTATTTAATTGAATGTTGAAAACAACCTCATTAAAATTGTTAAATTGTAAGTCTGCCACTATTTTTTTGGCGCCCGCCTAGACTCCGCTTAGGCGCTGTCCAGGCGCCCGACTAGCGCCTAGCGCCTACTGCAACCATGGTTTTTTCCATTATTTATGATATAAGAGTTGTACTATACAATATTTTGGTTTTAAAAATACATAATAACTTTCGTTATCTTTTCCAACTATTGTTACCATGCACATGCATCCACCGCATATTTTATTTTCTTCTTCAATAATAATAATATATAGGAATATAAACAATATATTTTCTTTTCTTCTTCAGTGATAATAATATATAGACATTATATATTGGAGTACTATATAAATTATTTCCTAAAATATAAATATTAAATTTGTAATATTAGAGTACTATATAAATTATTTCTTAAAATATAAAAATTAATTAGATCGATAAATTTTTAAAAATGTTTTACATTATTATTAGTATTATTATACAATAATATAAATAACTAAAATTTAATATAGATTATTAATATTGAGCATCTATCGCGTATATAAACTACTAGT